AAATAAATAAATAAATAAATAAATAAATAAATAAATAAATAAATAAATAAAAGTAGTGTAACACACACACACACACACACACACACACACTTTTACCTCTACTCCCAGGAGGGAAGTTATCCATAAAGAGATTAAACATTGACAAATAGTAAAAAAAAAACAGTCTACACAGCACTTAGCCACAAAAAGTAGCTTGAATTTGTTCACTTCTCTCCAACCAACTGATGCCTCAAACCAAAAAACATCTCTCAAAGGGGAAGACTGCATTCAGTTCCAGCAGATTCTAATTGTTAACTATAGTTTATCCCAATAGATAGATAGATGTATGAAAAAGGATGTTAAATACATCGAACATTTACCTTACTTTTTGATCACAGAACACTGTATTTACTACAAAAGTGTGTCAGATCTAAGAGGAAAAAACAGCAGCATTCTCAAATATTTGGGAGTCTAGAGTCTAAAACTTTACAAAAGCGATGTGAAACCAAAAGTACCAACAGATATCACACATGTAATTTCAAGTATACAATGCAATATCAAGTATATAATCTCCTCCAAAAAATGACCAATGTTAAATAAGGAGTTCTGCAGCTTTGTACACATGGAGGATCTCATATCAAGACATGGATTATTTTCATAAACATGTGATGTGTGGCATTAAATTAGTCTGAATCACTTTGGGAAGTGTTTTATTTGAGCAGAAAACTGGCAAGCAATTGTCATGTCTGGGGAATTTTGGTTTTTTTCTTCGCGTCTCCATGTTGTCGTGTCACTTCCTGTTTTATTTTGAAAGGTTGTTTCAAGTCTCCCCTGTGTGTCACATGTCTGATTGTTTTCCTGATCCCCTATTGGTTCCCCTGGGGTTCCCTTCCCTCATGGGTTAGATAATCTGAGTTTCCCCTGGTCTGGGGCCAGTGAGTTTTCCTCATTTCCTCATTCGTCTTTGTATCCATGACCTTGTTTCCTCGCTTAAGAGTGATTTTGTGTTATTTTCCTATAGTGGTGTCTGACCCTAGTGAGTATTATTTTGTCATTTAGTTCATAGCCTTTGCGATTATTATTATTATTATTATTATTATTATTATTATTATTATCATTATTATTATTATTATTATTATTATTATTATTATTATTATTATTATTATTATTATTATTATTATTATTATTATTATTATTATTATTA